GGTGAATTCTATCAAACCTTTAGAGAAGACCTAACACCTAACCTTCTCAAACTCTTCCAAAATATAGCAGAGGGAGGAATACTCCCAAACTCATTCTACAAGGCCACCATCACGCTGATACCAAAACCGACAAAGATGTCACAACAAAAGAAAACTACAGACCAATATCACTGATGAACATAGATGCAAAATTCCTCAACAAAATGCTAGCATACAGAACACAACAGCGCATTAAAAGGATCATTCACCATGATCAAGTGAGGTTTATCCCGGGAATGAAAGGATGCTTCAATATGCAAATCAATCAATGTGATAAACCGTATTAACAAACTGAAGTATAAAAAACATATGATAATCTCAATGGATGCAGAAAAATCTTTTAACAAAATTCAACATCCATTTATGATAAAAACTCTCCAGAAAGTGGGCATAGGGAACCTACCTCAACATAATAAAGGCCACATATGACAAACCCATAGCCAGCATCATTCTCAAAGTATAAAAACTGAAACCATTTCCTCTAAGATCAGGAAAAAGACAAGGTTGTCCACTCTCACCACTATTATTCAACATAGTTTTGGAAGTTTTAGCTGCAGCAATCAGAGAGGAAAAAGCAATAAAATAAATCCAAATCAGGAAATAAGTAAAACTCTCACTGTTTGCAGATGACATGATACTATGTAGAGAATCCAAATGATGCTACCAGAAAACTACTAGAGTTAATCAATGAATTTGGTAAATTAGCAGGATACAAAATTAATGCACAGAAATCTCTGGCATTCCTATACACTAATTATGAAAAATCTGAAAGAGAAAGTAAGAAACACTCCCATTTGCCATTGCAACAAAAATAATAAAATACCTAGGAATAAACCTACCTAAGGAGACAAAAGACCTATATGCAGAAAACTATAAGACACTAATGAAAGAAATTAAAGATGATACAAACAGTTAGAGAGATATACCATGTTCTTGGATTGGAAGAATCAACATTGTGAAAATGACTCTACTATCCAAAGCAATCTACAGATTCAGTGCAATCCCTATCAAACTACCAATGGCATTTTTCACAGAATTAGAGCAAAAAATTTCACAATTTGTATGGAAAAACAAAAGACCCCGAGTAGCCAAAGCAATATTGAGAAAAAAAATGGAGCTGGAGGAATCAGGCTTCCTGATTTCAAACTATACTACAAAGCTACAATAATCAAGACAGTATGGTACTGGCACAAAAACAGAAATATAGATGAATGGAACCGGATAGAAAGCCCAGATATAAACCCACACACCTATGGTCACCTTACTTAAATAAAAGAGGCAAGAATATACAGTGAAGAAAAGACAGCCTTTTCAATAAGTGGTGCTGGTAAAACTGGACAGCTACATGTAAAAGAATGAAATTAGAACACTTCCTAACACCATACACAAAAATAAACTCAAAATGGATTAAAAACCTAAATGTAAGGCCAGGCACTATTAAACTCTTAGAGGAAAAGATAGGCAGAACACTCTATGACATAAATCACAGCAAGATCCTTTTTGACCTACCTCCTAGAGAAATGGAAATTAAAACAAAAATAAACAATTGAGACCTAATGAAACTTAAAAGCCTTTGCACAGCAAAGGAAACCATAAACCAGATGAAAAGAAAACGCTCAGAATGGGAGAAAATATTTGCAAATGAAGCAACTGACAAAGAATTAATCTGCAAAATATGCAAGCAGCTCATGCAGCTCAATAGCTAAAAAACAAACAACCCAATCCAAAAATGGGCAGAAGACCTAAATAGACCTTTCTCTAAAGAAGATATACAGATTGCCAACAAACACATGAAAGGATGCTCAACATCACTAATCATTAGAGAAATGCAAATCAAAACTGCAATGAGGTATCACCTCACACCAGTCAGAATGGCCATCATCAAAAAATCTATAAACAGTAAATCCTGGAGAGAGTGTGGAGAAAAGGGAACCCTTTTGCAATGTTGGTGGGAATGTAAATTGATATAGGCACTATGGAGAACAGTATGGAGGTTCGTGAAAAAACTAAAAATAGAACTACCCTATGACCCAGCAATCCCACTACTGGGCAAATATCCTGAGAAAACCATAATTCAAAAAGGGACTTGTACCACAGTGTTCATTGCAGCACTATTGCAATAGCCAGGACATGCAAGCAACCTAAGTGTCCATTGACAGATGAATGGAGAAAGAAGATGTGGCACATATATACAATGGAATATTACTCAGCCATAAAAAGAAACAAAATTGAGTTATTTGTAGTGAGGTGGATGGACCTAGAGTCTGTCATACATAGTGAAGTAAGTCAGAAAGAGAAAAACAAATACCGTATGCTAAAACATATATATGGAATCTAAAAAAAAAAAAAAAAAAAGGTTCTGATGACCCTAGGGGCAGGACAGGAATAAAGACTCAGAGGTAGAGAATGGACTTGAGGACATGGGGAGGGGGAAGGGTAAGCTGGGACTAGGTGAGAGAGTGGCATGGACATATATACACTACCAAATGTAAAAGAGACAGCTGAGTGGGAAGCAGCTGCATAGCACAGGGAGATCAGCTTGGTGCTTTGTGACCACCTAGAGGGGTGGAATAGGGAGGGGGGGAGGGAGGCACAAGAGGGAGGAGATATGGGGATATATGTATACATATAGCTGATTCAGTTTGTCGTACAGCAGAGGCTAAAACAACATTGTAACACGAATATACTCCAATAAAGATGTTAAAAATAAAAGTGTTTATGAACAGTTTCATTTCACAAAAGCTAAATCATATAGTAGAAAGATATTGTAGAAAGAGCAAGGGTTTTGACATTAGGCCAACTTTGTTATTTTCAGTTTTTTTTTTTTATGCTTTCTGAGCTTTGGTTTTCCCTTCTGTAAAATGGGGATAAATATACTCTTTCTTGTAGGAATGTTTTCAAAGACAATTGAGTCGTTGTTTACAACAGTGTTTTATATACTGCAAAGCCCTGTTCCAAGGTTAAGACTTATACTCTTATTCATCCCAGATTTGGTCACTCAGTTAGTTCTAATCCTCATTATTCTTTGGTGTCCTACATACATGACTTGTAATAACAATGATGAGCTTGAAAAGGATAGAGATTTGATTTGATTTAAAAGATTAAATAATTTACTATTTCTTTGCTTTTTGGAAATGACATGAGAGAGCCCATCCAATGAGATGATCAGGGTTAGCTATGCTGGGGTAAAAAATTTCAGCTCACTGGTTTGGTCACATCTGAATACTGAGTCTTGACTTTCCCTAAAACATCCCATGGTCAGTATCTGTCTCTCCAAGTAAAAGTCAATGGCAATCTTCTGCAAGGGGAAGATCCAATTGCATCTGTAGAATGAAATCAATACAATCACTGCAAGTAAACCATGTCTGACCTTATCCTTTTTAAGAAGGAAAAAAATCAAGAGGGCATGAAAAGTGTCAGCATTTTTGGTTTTGAAAGGTGATAAAGGGGGAACAGTTCATGCTGTGCTTATCCATCATTGGACTTCAGTAAGATCATTAAGGTTCAAACTAGATATAAAGAGGTAGCAATTTATTCAGTGCTGCTGTTGGAAATCCTAGCACCAATTCAGCTCAATTCAGTTCAATTCAATTCAGTTCAGCAAGCATTCATTAAGTATCAACATTGTGTATGATTTTATGCTAGCTGCAAAAAAAAAAAAACAAAAAAGCAAAAATCTCTGGTTATTAATTCTGTTATTTTATGTCAGAATCTTCTAGGTTCTGGGAATAAGCATGTAGAGAAAGAAATCTATGCAGACACAGCAAATCTATTGTGATAAACGCTAGAGGATATGAATAAAATACTGTAGTGGAAAACATGAGCTATGCATTCATAGAAAAATCAGGTGATTTCTGAGTTGAGACTTGCAGGATGGGGGGGAAGGATTTATTTTAGTTCATTTTGACAATTATTTATTGAGGTGTAAACTATGTGCTGGACCCTAGCATGGGCACTGGTATTGGGGAGGCAAGTAAAGCATCATAGCTGCTCTCAGGAAGATCACAAACGTGTTACAGCAAGTGGAGGCAGTTGTCTGAAAGAGCTTGTAACCTGGTAGAAGAGACAAATGATTTTATAAGGAAAGGGCTCATTTGCAAACTTTTCAACATATTTGCTTTCCAAGAGAATCTTTGGTATGGTTACAGTTGTTATGTTTTGCCTTCATAACAGCAGTAACATTCTTAGAAAAATGCCAGGAAACTGGAAACAAGTAAGAGCATGTGCAAAGGTATGGTGACCAAGAAGTTTCCTGCATGTTTATGAATTAGAGTGCATATATACAATGGAATACAACACAACTGTTCAAAATGGTGCAAAGAAATATGTTATAAAATGGGAAGTTATTTTTGATATATAGTGAAGTTAAAAATGCAGGTAATAGTACAATATTACAATGTGATTCCACTCCTGTAAATTTTTATTTTGCATTCACAGGAAAAAATATGAGAAGATGCCTTAAAATGTTAATGGTGGTTCTCTTTCAATGGAGGAATTATGAAGAGGGGCTATGATTTGTTCCCTTCTCTTATCTCCTCTCCTCTTCTCTCTTTCCCTCTTCTCTTCTCTTCTCTTTTTCTCTCTCCCTCTTCATCCCTCTTTCGTTCCTCTTTCTCCTCCTCCTCCTCTTCCTCCTCCTCCTCCTCCTCCTCCTCCTCTTCTTCTTCTTCCTCTATTTTCCTCATGTGTATTCCCATTTGTTTTCTGAAACTAATCTAAATTACTTCAGGAATTAAAAAAAAAAGCCAAGGAAAAGTAATTAAAAAAAAAAAAAACTCCTTTAAGCCAAAGAATCACTTCAACAGTTCTGACAATTCTCCTTTAATGGCATTTGTTCCTCAGGAGAAGCCAATACTTTTGGAAGGACAGGTATCATTAGTATTATTGTTGTTGTTGTTATTCTATTTCCTTGGACTGGTAATATTTTGAGGTTTTAACTGGTGTATTTTCTTCATTCCCAGATCATTAGACACAAATAATCTGCAGAACTAGAAACAAAGGCTACAAACTCTTGCCACAGAAAAGATGTAGAGGCACTTTTTTACAGGACAAATTTTCCTATTGGCAGAGATCATGGAAAAAACAAAGTGGTCCCAGGCTGGGGAAGAGACAGGAAAGCATGAGAGAGAGGAATGGAAAGCCTCAATCTGGGACCCTGGGCCTGCAAGGATGGACTGCCAAGTGCTAGCCATCCACTCGTCATCCATCGATTTTCTAGTCTTGAGTGGTGCTCATCTAAGCCTGAGATTCTGCTCATCTCCCCTGAATCTGTATGTACACTGCCTTCCTCTTAGCCCTAGCAACCCACTGTTGAATTCCCATTTTATTGACAGAACAGTGGAGATTTCAGGAGGCTGAGCATTGCCTAGAAATTACCAGCAGGGTTGAAGCTAGAACTTAAGCCTCATGAATCCCTGTTGAAAACTCTTTCCAGTACCCCATAATATTGCCTAAAATCTGATTTGTGGATCATAGTTATTCAAAGTCAACACTTCTGTCCCTCATTGTTCCTTGGGCAATTACTTCTTCTGTGATGAGGAATAAACAAGATGGTGACAGGCTCCTGAAGTTGTTTTGTCATTTCTAACCTGGCCTTCCACTCCTGCAGCTAAAGACAGGGTTATTTCTGGTGAAATCCTTGCTGTAAAGTACACCAATCAATTTTCCTTACAAATGGTTTCTAATATGTAATTATATAATCAAGCATGCTCATAAACAAGCCAGGCCTTGACATAGAGTGATGGGGTGCAGTAATATTTTAAATAAAAGATGATCGCACAGCCATTTATTTTGTAGTCCAATTTTCAGGGTTGGGAACTGTACATTAATGGCAGTTTCAAGATTAGCAGCGAGCTAAATGTGAAACTCTGTGAGTCAATGCCTTCGACATAAACAAATGTACAAAAATAGCATCCTGCAACTGTTTGCAAAGTCTGACAGAGTTTCAGGGCTTTCTGCAAAGCAGAGGGTGCAAAGAGTACCAGATTCATCACATTCTGGCAGCTATCTGTTCAAAAACAATGGTTTTGTCTACAAATGGAAACTGCTAACAGCTTTCTCCATCCAGTGCAATCGTCTTTCCATCTGTTTGGGTTTTATAATCATGTTGCCTTTGGAAAATTACAACACAGAGCATATTCTTTCGAGGTCTGTTGTTGAGCTGAATATTCTGGGCCATGAAATGGTGACAACAGTGAAGAATTTCCCTGCAAAAGCATTGCAACAGTTGCATTCCCAAAAGCTACCCCTGTGCTGCAAGGCTCTGGCAGGAGTGGAGCGTCAAATTGTGTTTAGCAGAGCACAGTTTAAAAAACATTCACATACACTTGAATAGCCACAATCTGACACTTGCACTGCTTTGGTGTAATGGATGCTCTTTCTCCCGCCTTTCTTCATCTTTATTCCTTACTCCTTTTTTTCCATTTCCCTACCAAAATATATTATTACCTAATGTGTGCAAAGTCATGAGGGATCTGGACAGCTCCTCCAGCCTGTGATCTCAAGAAAGAACATTATTCCTTTGTATCTCCTGATCCTTTGCCTAGAGTCCAGCTCAGGGTGGGTATTCAGTACCTAAGTGATGAATAAATGAAAGAATGATGCTTTATCTTTCATGTGATGCTTTATACCTTATAAAACCTTGTGTACTTTGTAAAACATTTTCACTGATACCATCTTCACAACCACATACGTGGTTGTCGTCTCAATGTGTTACTTCAAATCCTTTAAGAGGCAGATGCTAAGATGCCATTAGATATGTAAGAAATTGATTATGGAAATTGACCTTGAGGGAAAAAGGTGAAGGAAGAGTGGAGAATGGGGGAACCATCAGACCATGATGCAGGTTTTACCCCCTTGGAGGAGAGAGGAAGGAATTTTGAGTAGCAGAAGTCTTTGACCGATGTGCAGTTCAAAGAAAGTTTTGACAAAGCTGATAGAGAGTCTTTGGGCCAAAGTCACTGGTCAGAGGAGTCCTACATCTCCCAGAAATGCACCTGCTTGTCCCAGAAGTGACCTTGCTATACTCAGACTTTGGCTGGTGGTGCCAGTGTGGTGATGGATTTCAGACAGCATGCCTGGGACTTTTGGTCAATTACATTCTATGCAATGGGAAATCTGAGAGGTACATTTTCATGGCCACCACATTCTATTTAATAGATAAGGAAACAGATTTGGAGAAATTAAGAGACATTCTCAAGGTCTCATGAGTGGAAGAGTGAGGATCAATGCCATGTTCCTGAACCCTAACCCATGTTTTTTTTTTACAGACATAACTGCGGCTTCATTTTTACTGCTGACCCTCTGCCCCATCTGACTGGGAGTGTTTGGGAGAGAAGAGAACAGAAAAGTTGAAACACTGGGTCAGCAAAAAACATGCCAAGGACATGAGAAGAGACAGGGGTGAGGTTTTTTTTACTCACGGTAGAAAGCAGAGCATAAGGCTGGAAGATGAAGAATAGACGTCTCATCCCAGGGTGGAAATGGGTAAGACATTCACTCTGTCATAATTAGAATATACCATATGTAAAATCAAATCTTTTGATAATTAAATAGCAGATTATGCTTTAGAGAATCACATAAGAATGAAGGTAGAGATGTTCTTGGCTACTTTTTTCAAGACTGTTTTCCCAGCACCTTGACAGTGCTTGGCACAGAGGCATGGTGTAATTACCTGTCTTTGTTGAAGGAATAAATGTAACTCTAGCCTTGGAAGGGACCTCAGGGAACATCCAATGTACTTTAGAAAATAATGAGTCATTGAATAATTGTTAAGTCACTTCTCAGAGAGAATGAGACCCTGAGACTGCTGACTTCCTGCACAGGGATCTATCCTCCTCCCATCCGGGGCCACTCTGAGATGAGGGCTCTGCTTTGCTTACCCAAGAGAAAGTAGATACATTAATATTGGAATCTCTAACATCTTTGACCAAATGGAAGAGTAAACTTAGCCATTTTTTGAACTTAAACATCAATGTGGTGAGTATATTAGAAACAAATTCCCAAACAAGAATGAGTGGGTAGAACAATGAGTCATTTGGAGAAAGCAATGCATGAAACCTAATATGATGAGACCAATATTTTGGGACTATCACGGGAAACCTCAACTGACAGATAGTAGACAGCAGAGAACTAGAGGGGAACTGATATACATGTTAATTGCCATTTTATAGTTGTTTGAAAACGCTGGCCTTGAGAGGTTATAATGCAGAATTGAATATTGATTCACTTAGGAAATATTTATTGAGCACCAACTCTGTACCAGGTACTAGGTTAGGCTTTGAAGATTATCGGCAAAAAAAAAAAAGACCCTATTCCTTCATTATAGAGTAGAGCGTCTAGTGGAAGACAGGCAGTAAATGTACAAACACAATAGTTCCAGATAGTTGGAAATGTTATTAGAGAAATACCAAGGGTATGGGAAGCGGCACAATTATGTGGTCATGGGGGGACTCACTCTGAGGCAGTGAAATTGACTTGAGATCTGAATGATAAGAAGGAGTTATCCCTGTGAAAATCTGAAGGCAAGAGTTCCAGGGAAGAGGAGGAGCAGGTGCCTTCAACAAGACCCAGAGTGCTTGAGGAACAGAAGAAAGGCCAGTGTGGATGGAGCATAGTCTGGGGGAATGTCAGGAAGTGAGATGAGAAGTAGGTAGGGCCAGATTCTGCAGGACTTTGTAGGCAGAGGAAGGAGTTTGGGTTTTATCTTAAGGGTGTCAGAAAGCCATTGAAAGCTTCTAAGCAGGAGTGTCACAACTTGATTTATATAAAAAACCCAAAATTGCTCTTCAGGAAAGCAAATGTGGAAGCAGGGAGACAAGTTGAGGCTGTTGCCGGGTGAGAGCTGGTGGGGACTTGAGCTGAGCTGGATGGACAAACTGGAAATAGCCAGGTGGGCAATATGGAGAGAGAGGTTTCTGGCTGAAGAATGGTAGCATCTACAAGGCAGAGAGGCATTGGGGAGAGGCTGTGGTGTATGGGGGCTTATACATGGTTTGCAGTGGCTGCAGTATTGGGTGTGCATTAGGTAGCAGGAAAAGATAAAATAGAGAGGGCTATCTCTACTTCATAGAGCTATTGAGGGGATAGCTTGAGAACACAAGCCACTTTCTCTGTGCCTTGGTTTTCTCCTCAGTAAAATGGAGCATCTTGTCACAGTACAAACACTAAGATCCCTTCCACTCTGTCATTACCCGCAGCCCAGCATGGGCAACCTGATTGAAATGTCTTGTGTCTGTGGCACTGGCAATGCTGGGGCTTCACAATGGGATTTTCATGGCCCTGGATGCTGGGAACATGCTTTTCGAAGTCAGAATAATAAATGAATGATGAAAAGAGGCATTACATATCACCAAATGTTGAAAACCCCTTTCCTGGGCAATACAAAGTAGGTTGTTACAGGAGAGTCCTGGCACAGGCTCTTTACTTGTGGTTTCCCCGTCCTTGTCAGAGCTGACTCTCCTCACTGCCCTGAACACAGAAATTCCTTCTGTAGGAAACAGCAGAGGCCAAGACATAATGATTACCAATTTATGTTTTTGTTTTAAGAGATGGCTTGACAATAATATTGCTTACTATATGCCAAATGAGGTCCAAGCAGTTCATTTGTAACATCTCATGTGATGTGCACAGGTCTATGATGTTGATGATATTATTCCCCCCATTTTAGAGATGGGAAAAGGGAGGACCAAAAGGGTAAGTAATTGCTTGATGCCTCGTAGCCTTTCTACAGCTGCTGTCAGTTGCACAGTAGCAGAAAGCACCCTGAACTCAACCTTCAGGGACTGGGCTCTGCAACTGGGCAGGGTATGACCTGGGCTTCCAAACCACCTAACAGTCATGCTTGCTTGATTTTCTCATCTTTGAAATGGGGATCATAATAACTACCTCAGGGAGCTGTTGTAAGCATTGAGATAAATTGTGTAAAGAACCTGGTGAGGTAAATATTAGCCTCTCCTAGTTACAAAGCATAAATGTGCTTTGCAAACCATAGTTATAAAAAGAAAATACAAACCCCCTGAGTATTTCTAGGGAATTGACTTGGAGTTGTACAAAAGTAGCATTTAATGTGGAGACACTTGTAGCATGAAAGAATTCTTAGGGTTCTTGGATTTCTGTACATGCGTGGAGGGAGGTGTCAAGGTAAATATTTCCTCTGTAGATTAGAAAACAGCAAGTTAGAAATTTGAACAAGTTGATATTAATTTCAGGCAATATTTCCTTCGGCTTTATGAAGTCAACTGTGAAGAAGTGAACCAAATATTTACTACATGTTCAGCCATATTCTAGGTACTTTGGCAGAAGGAGTGGGCTATGGAGATGCACCAGATGATTGATTGATTCCCTCAAGGAGCTTGCTGTCTACCATCCAGGGCAATGACTAGAGGGGGGCCTTCTGTGGGGGAACAGGATGTCTTACAGCAAAATGGTGTGTATATGTGTGTGTGTGTGTGTGTGTGAGAGAGAGAGAGAGAGAGAGAGAGAGAGATTGTTTTCATGTTAGTTGGATTGAAAATGTTGAGAAACCCTGGTCTACAGGGTAGAGATATCCATGAGAGAAGACATGAATCAGTGAGTTAGTGGGAAACTATAACTTGTTTTTATAGATAATATATGTATAACCAAACGCTAGTCAGTGTGCTCCTGGATCTATGTTAAGCTGCCCAAAGACAGTGATTTACTATCTATGCTTCCTTTTTATAACAAATATTTTTAAACATATTCTTCATTTTATTGAAAACGTAATATAACCCATCTACAATATAATTCCAAAAGCAAATCGATATATTGTCCCAAAATAGCAAAAATAGAAATTAAAGGAAAGCTTTAAGATAACATACAGTTCACTCTTGAGCAACATGAGAGTTGGAGTGCTGACCCTCCATGTGGTGGAAAATCCCCATATGACTTTACAGTTGGGCCTCTATATCTGCAGTTCCACATCTGTGGATTCATCCAACCTCAGATCATGTAGTACTGTAGTACACATTTATTGAAAAAAATCTGTTTGTAAATGGACCCTCGCAGTCCAAACCCAAGTTGTTCAAGTGTCTACTATATTATGTACAAAATTTTAGTAAGTAAATGCTCAGACTATACTAGAGAGACAGTGGACTCATCAAGTGCTTGTACCCAAGATGTCTTCATGGACACATCTGGTGTCTTGGTACTGGCTGATGGCTGGGGCACCTCAGGTTTCCTCCATGTGGCTTTTCTCTGCAGGTGGTATCTCACCATTCAGTGGTTTAGCCTGAGCTTCTTCACAAGGCAGCTGGCTTTCAAGAGAGTGAAACAGAAGCCCAAGGCTTTGAAGTTACATAGCAGCACTTCTGCTACCTTCTGTCCATCACAAGAAGTCACAGAGCTACCCTAGAATATTCGAGGGAGGGAGTGAGTGGGAAATAGGCCCTACTTCTTTATGGAAGGAGTGATCAATTCATATTGCAAGTGGACATATGGGATGAAAGATTATTGTCATAATTTGTGGGAACACCTACTGTAGAAGGAGAAGAGCCCTGAAAAGTCTAACTAAAAACAATTAACCTATTTATTGAATTCTTTCTGTATGCTTAGAAGGAACACATAGAAGTTATCTTCTGATTGCTCTACTGTCTCAATTAAATAAGATACAAAGTCATTAGCTAAGAGTAAGGAAGTGGAAAAAGATGACAG